CCCGGCCCGCGATATAAACACGGGCACGCTTCCGCCTGGCGCTCACCGCAGTGTCGTCACTGAGCACAAGAGCCGCGCAGAAGTCTCGCGAGAGGCTCCTCCTAACAGGGTAAATCCTGCTAGCCCGGTTACTGTGGCCGGCGGCAACTCCAGGGCTGTCATTGGTTCAACCCTTCCACGTGATCGACCGGAGCCTCGCCCACTCAGGGTCCGCCTCCCACCTCGCGGCGACAGTTAGGGAGAGGGTGCGGCTGTGACACAGTCGGCGCGGGGGGAGGGACGCGGTCCTGCCCCCGGCCACTACGGAGGCGCAGTGGGACAAGCCTACGGCGGCCTCGTGTGTTCCCCGGCGCCGCCGCTCGGGGCCGCCTTCGCCTGGGGAGTTGCGTGGAGAAGCGGTGCCCTTGCAGGCGGCTCCTGCTCCTTTAGTGACACCAAGGAAGCCACCGCGGCCGGGAAGGGGCAGTCGACAGGTGCCTGGCCTGCGCCCCCCGGCCCCGCCCCGCTCGCTCTCGCCCTTGCCCTTGCCCTTGCCCTTATGCGCAGGGTGGTCATGGCCAGTGTTGCCTCCTGACATCATCTTTGACGTCAGCGTTAGCAAGGTGGGCGGTGCGAGCCCGAGTCTACACCCAGCTGCGGCCCTCCGGGGCCCTAGGTTGACCAGCTGTGCAGGCGGGCCCCGCTGTGTCCTGCAAGGTGGACCTGCTCCAAGCCTCTCACCTGCACCAGGCTCACCTTGCTGTGCCCTCCTCCTACTGCCGGGAACCTGGGCAAGCTGCAACCCAGCTGCACAGGTGGTCCCTGAGCAGCCCTTACTGCCTCCATCATTTCTGGCCCATTAGCTCTGAGACTACCCAAGCTGTCTAGGGCAGTGGCAGGGCGCACCAGCCAAGGTGGAGGAGGTGCAGGTGGAGGAGCTGCAGGCCTAACTGCTGCTGCACTCAGGCCAACTCAGCAGGACCTTCAGCCCCAGCTTTCCCACAGTGTCAGGCCTTTCTGTCTCCCTGTCATTAGCACAGGGATGTGCTGGTGGTAGGGTCGCAGGGGCCAGGGTCCACTTGGAGAGTGCTGCCTTCTGATGTTACATCAGTGGCAGCTGTATTCAGAAGCGGCCCAGCCCTTGCTCACAATAGGACATGGGTACCCCCAGGTACCCTCTGGACTATCCTGTTTCCTCCAAGCCACTTTTCTAACCCTTGCATCAAACTACCCCATACTCTTTTCACTGCAGCTGTATGAAAGGAATGAGGGGCAAGCATTTTTTTGATGTCTTTTATTGGACCAACGGCATAGTTGGAATTAAGTTAGACAAGCTTTTGACTGTAAGAATATAGGAGAGACTATAGGAAGCCATAGTTGGCTTCTTGCATTCAGAGAGCTGAGGAAGAAAGTAAGCATAGCACAGTCTTAGAGGACTCATTCCTTTCGCAGTATTGGAAGAATGATGTTGTAGCCATGATGGTGCAGCAATTATGCGAGAAGCAAGGATTTCTTAGAGTGATACCTTTTATTGGACCAACTACATAGCTGGGATAAAGTTAGACAAGCTTTCGAATGCAGGACACTCTTCCTCGCGTCTCTGAATATAGGAAGCCATTGGCTTCCTGTATTCTCTTGCTATTCCCTTGTATGTTCAGAGACCTGAGGAAGAATGTCTTGCTTTCAAAAGCCTGTCTAACTTTATCCCAGCTACGTAGCTGGTCCAATAAAAGGTATCACCCTAAGAAATCCTTGCCTCTTGCATCATTTCTGATCCATCATGGATACAATATCACTCTTAAATTACCACAAAAAGAATTGTAAGATCCCATGCTACTTTTTCATGAGGCACCTTGCAGAGTCTAGTGCTGAGCCCTTTAGTTGGTGAAGTATTAAGATGTGTTTTCCAAATGTTTTACTGGCCTAGTATATTTTACTGATTCTGCTACGCGTTCTGGTACCTGAGCTCTCACATAATCTATCGATGATCATTTTCCAAGATATACTAATCCAGCTGCAGACTTTGGTCTAAATTAGGTATTATGTAGGATGAGTTTATGGTTATGTTACCCTGTGAGGTCAGGGCAACTCTCAGGATCTCAATATTGAGCTGTTAGACAAGAGGGTGTGACACAATTGCACGTATACAAACACACAAATCAGGTGCATACACACACACATACGCACACACACTACCAGCTCAGGCACATGCACATCCAAACCAGCCTAGGCACATGCATACCTATCACCAATTCAAGCACATACACACTAAAAATAAGACAAAAATCAATTGTCAATACCCGCACACTCAGTATACATACACAGATCACTAATTCGTATATCATGCACACAATGAGATATATATATATATATATATGGATGGTATGGTATGTATGTGTGTGCTTGGGGAACCTGGGATACTTGGGGGAAGGTTCAGGTGAAAGAGAGAGTTAAAGTGTAGGGAGTGAAAGTTGCCAGAACTGGGATTAGAACTGGTGGACTAGAGAGAAGCTGACTGAGGAACTGAGGCTTGGGTTTATTTAAGATTAAGTGGTCCCAGGGTTAATCGAGGTCACTGTTGCATGGCAGGGGAAAAAAAAAGAGTCTCTCTTTCTCTCATCTTAACCTTCCCCCAAGTATCCCAGGTACCCCAAGCGCGCACACACATACCGTGCCATCCAAGTTAGGAACGTACCTATGTGTAGGTGGGTTGTATGTGTGTGAACTCACTCACTCACGACAGGTGTTGGAGGTGGCAGTGAGCCAGAAGCAGGAGAGGGAGAAATGAGACAGAAGTTAGAGGAGTGAGGAGCAGAGATTGGAGCAGGGCAGAACCACAGTAAAGCAAAACCCAACTCAGGGGTCCAAATAACAGGTTTATTAAACAGACAACACACTATACAGCCCCATGAAGTTATTGGTTCACACACATGCGCACACATACACACACAAGCATTCACAATGGCAGCAGGAGAAAGCGACTTAGTGGAAGGGCTGGAGTTCAGGTAGGGAAGAGAAGCAGAGTCCAAGTCCTTGGCTGAAGGTGGGGGGGTGGGGGTGGTGATAGCTACCTATTCAGGCTGGAAAGGGGTCTTTGTCCAGTAGGTGTTGTCCAGAGAGGGGTTGCCGGCAGGGCCTCTGGGTGGATAGGTGGTGTGGCATGGTGCTGGTCCAGATGGAGAGGGCGTCCCAAGGAGTCAGTCTTCACTACCCCTTTTATGGGGCAAACTACCTCTGATCTCCTATGGGGAGGGCCTGTCCAGGCAAGGTCAGTCCTGTTCCAGAGGGTTCCAGATGTCCTTACTGAGCATGTACAGCCTTGACACTATGGTGGGTTGCCTCATCTTTTGTTTCTTGAATGCTGAGGGTGGTTCCAAGGACTGGGTCATTGGTCCAGGTATTGGTGTTGATGGATTGGTCATTCAGAGGGAGCTATTTTTAGACCTACTGCCATTGTCTCTCAAGCACCCTCATTCATCCCCATTCATTCAGGAACCAAGTTACATAGGAGGGGTAGGTGTGACTCATGGGTTATACAACTGGGCCTGGGGACAGGATGGAGACTTGACAGACAAAATGGAAACTTGACATGACTTATGCTAACTTACATATGTAGGCCAAATCATATAGTACCAGTAAAACAGTAATATAGAACAGTAAAAATCAATATAAATATAATAATTATACAATATAAAGAAGGAGAAAAAACAAAACAAGTACAAATTATTACCAAAATAAAATGCTGAAGCTTATCCTATGTCTTAGCTCACTTATACTTATCTATAGGGAACAGAGAGGGAGAGACAAAGTCAGAAATGGTTGGGGAAGGGGAGGGAATGCATTTAAAAAAAACAAAAATGGGGGGTTTTGCTAGTTACACTGACAGTGAAACAATATTCTATCAAATTGCTTACATTTCTGTCCACTTTATTAACTGCTGTTCTCTTTGCTAAGTTTCAGACCTGGAAAAAAAAATTCATATGTAAACTTACCTCGTTACATGTTTTTTTCAATACATTATGCAAAAAGTTTAATTTATGACTGGAGATAGAATAACTATTGCCTCCTATGTGCTTACCAACTCTCAATAATTAGCACAGTTCTTCTAAAAATAGACTGTTATGCTGAACAATTTCCTAGAAATAAAATCATTAGTTTTGAGGAATGTTTTCCATAAACAAGCGTCAAGAAAGAGTAATTAATTTAATTTTAATTTCATTTTGTAAGAGACGTAGGAGAAGTTAAGATAAATACCAATTCATAAGATGTTTTCTTCAAAAAAACAGATAAAATAGTGCCCTAATTCCTTGGAGACCCCCTGTGCCTGAAGAAGGGTGCTTGTTGTCAAAAGCTTGCAAAGAACTTTTTTGCAGCTATTTGGTTAATCTAATAAAAGATATAACATCTACCCAAAGAAGCTTGCCTGCCTATGTCCTTAGACCAATAAAACTACAGCCAAAAAACAAAATTCAGCAACTGTGGGAGAAATGGTTTGGGAAAGGAAAGTTGCATCAGCTGAGTAAAATGTCATAAAATTGCACTGTCATAAGATAATGTTGCTCAGGTGTCCATGTAGTCTGCAGTGTTCCTTACTACAGTTCCAACAAACTATCAATAGCAATATGCATCCAAGGGATTGGCCATGCCCCCATTCAACGATATGAGCGGGTACCTTCTCATTGCGGACCATAAAGAGTGTTTCTTGATCTGCTGCAGTATAGGTAAGTTATGTAGAGAAAGAGGTTTTATTCCTTAAGCCTTTTCTCTGGCGTGATATTTATTTAAGAATTTCCTAGTGTGATATTTTATTTTGTAGTGATTTGCACAGCAAAACTGGTCCTAATACCTCCACATATAAACAATCCAAAGGAGCCCTTTCCCTCTCTTTTCAGTACAATTTAGTGTTTTAGAATTTTCTTTGAGACTTTTGGAAGGAAAATGTTATAATTCCATTAACATTTTATACTTACTGGTTTCTTGATTGCTTTTCTGAAGGAACAAGCAGTTGCTGGGGGATAGCAGAGGTGGTCAGAATTACACAAATTCTCTCACATTTTAGAGCCCTGTGTTTGGAGGTTTTTTCTGTGCCATCTTTGCGGGTCAGCTCTTGATAAGACATGGTAGGCCAGGTTGGAGACATTAATAAATAAGTGGTTATATCACCACTCAGGGCACTAACAGAAATGACATTTGTTATGCAATCGGCCCCTTGAAAGTGCTCTGCACCCATGCCCTGACAAAAGTGTACGGCTGCAGAGCGCTTTAAAAGTGCCCATCACATGACAAATTAATCTGCATTTAATGGGGTTCAGACAAAGGTGTTCCAAAGCAGAGCACCTTCATTAACATCTGTTTGTCCCTGCATGTTTCCCTGCATCGGGGGCTCCAATCCACCTGCCCCCACAAACCCCAGACCATAGCTCTTCTTCCCCCTCCTCCCTCCCATCTTGCAGACACCATTGGAGCTGGGTGTGGGGAGTGGTATGGCTAGGGAAGAGGCTGCAGACCTATACAGCCTCTCTCTGCTGGATCAGTTCCAAAATGGATCTCTATTTCCACCCTCCCCCTGGTCCCCAAACAGCGAATGTCTGTTGGGTGGGGGTCACTATAACTCGTGGTGTTTTCTGTGAAGTGCCATGAGTTACAGCAGGGAGCTGCACATCTGTCAGCGCCCTCAGAGAAGTGAGCCTGAAGGGGAGAGACTGCAAAGAGTTAAGTACAGAGAAAGAGGAGAAGATCACAAGCTTATTTACACAGGCTTCTGTGCTCCAGCTCTTATAATTATATCATGGATATGGCAATATCTTGTGTTTTTCTTAAATCAGCTTATGACGTGAGACTTTCAGCTTACTTTTAAAAATAAATACATTTCTAGCCTTTGTGGTTTTAAAGAAAAACATGAGACTATGAAGCCTAACAGCTCAAAAACCTTACTCAAATAAAAAGAGCACCAATCTTATTTTTAAAAATCTCATAATGTTTAAATCAATCTCATGATGTTGGCATTTGACTCATGATTTTTTAAAGCTGGGGGCTAGCAAGACTGGTCCTTGTTTAATCTTTATTTTGTTAATACTTTTGCTTGCCAAATCCCACTTTCTAGCTCTGTTGAAACTAAAATTCCTTTAGGTTCTTATCCTGAAGGAACTTCACGGGGTTAGTTTCCTGAGCTGTTGTGGACTATAAATAGTCAAGGAGGCACAGGCAATCCCTTTCATAAAGCCAGCTGCAACATTAGAACCTAAGTTTGGGCCAAATCATCAGTGCACGATTTCATTCTGAGGGACATCTCGGGACATCTACTGGCTTGCTGACAGGTTCTACGATAACCAACTCTTTAGTGCCACACCACCTTAGAATCTCCTTTGTTATTTTGCACAAAAAAGGCTGCCTATAAAGAGTAGAATCCTAAGAGACTGAAAGTTGCAGTACAAAACTCCCAGAAATATAACATATATAGCTTAATGATTTTGTGGAAAGGAAGATATATTGTGATAACTTTTTTTTAAACATTGTCAGCTTAATCCTGTGTGGCAAATATATATATGTGTGTGTGTGTGTGTGTGTGTGTGTATATGTTTTAGATTTTTTACTCATAAGAAGTGTATCAGAAAATATCACGTTGATTATGTAATTATCAGTTAAATGCTTTTTTGGTACAAGGGTATATTCAGATGTAATTCTAATCAGGATGTGTCCATCAGCAGGAAGCTTCCTTTAATACTCAGCGTTTTCAGAAGCTTCCTTTAATACACAGTGTTTTAAGAGTGGAATTTTAGAGTAGGAGGGAAGGGTAGAATTGCCATTTACCTGTCTAATGCTGCCTTTGACACACATGATGAGCCAGCTTCATTTGACTGTCACATCCTTAGGAGGCAGAATTCTTCAGCCCACACTTTTCCTAGCATTGACTACTTCTTTATTTACTCTTTGTGCCTTTGCATTTTGCCTGGACTGTGCATTTTCAGTTAAGCACCAGTTAGAGACAGGCTTCTCAGTTGTGGCATTGTAGAAAAGCCCACATAGCCTCCCACACAGTGCCTTCCTCAAAGAGAGATGGGGATGCCTATGCCTTTGAAGAAGTAGTTTTTAAACAAAAGGAATTCCCCTATGTACTGATGTGCCTGACAGTTTATTTCTCACTACACTTGTACAGCTATCATACTGATGGGTCTGGTTTTATTTGTTCGGTCTTCAAAATAACCAGATTTCAGGACTTTGCCCAAAGAGGATATGTATCTTCAAATTGGTTTGGTAGCAGAAATGTGGGCAAGACCATGCAATATTGGGAATGTTTTGACAATTTGGGATGAAGAAACATTTAAAATTATGATAAGATTTAGAAGGATTTGGCAGGTATGGAGGATACATTTTTGGTAAGATATTACCAAATTTATTAGATAATGACATATCTTCAGCTATCACATTTTCCTTCCTTACAGTGTATTTGGATCATGGCTTCTCAACGCACTGTCGTGTATTCTATCTTACTATCACATAAGGTCAGTGGTTAGGGCAGCCAAAAGACAGTGAGTATTTAACACGAGGACAACAGTAGCTACTTGAATACCTTGTAGTTCTATTTATTATTTTCAAAGGAGTTCCATTATAGAGTCATAGATTCCTAGATGTTAGGGTCGGAAGGGACCTTAATAGATCATCGAGTCCGACCCCCTGCATAGGCAGGAAAGAG